GGGGGGGGGGGGGGGGGGTCAGGTGGGAAAGAGACAAGCCTCGTATCAGAAAAGAGAGAATTTTCATGTTGCCTCTGGTTGTTTTTTTTCTTTATCATTTTTCCCTCGTCAAATTTGCTTCATAGTTGAATGAGTTGCTCATATATAGGAAACAACATATCTGATAATGTGATTTATTAGCGGTGTCAACAGAAACAATTATTTAAAAGTAGGAATTACCAACTATTTTGTGAACAGAAGGCAAAAACAACTTGAACATGGCAGAGTTGATATTTTTCAAGTTCTTATCCAAACAAAAAAATAAAATAAAAGAAAAAAAAAGCATTTTCAATATTCAACCATGCAGCCCAGTCATACAATGTTTGCCTTCTTTTCTTATTATGTAGCTTAATTTCATGCAGGCCGGTGCACCGAATGATGAAGGTCCCTCATGGGCTCCTCTACGTGATAGTTACATGCTGACTAACCCCAAGTTAAAAGACTGGGATAAGAATGCGGTAAGGATATCTTACTTAAATTCTGCAATTACTGAGAGATAACCTCAGTCTCCCTCTTTGCAAATGATCAATGTCATATGATGTTCATGCAGGACACAACTGCCGCAGACGACGTGAGGGTGCCGGCTGATTCAGATTCATCTGATGATGAATAAGTTCACTGAAAGTTTGATGTTCAACTATCTGCTTCAAGCATACTGGGATGTCGAACACATAGAGAATCATATCTTCAATGCAGGGAAGTGGATGCCTAGGCATAGTCAAAGTAATGCTAGGGCAACTTTTTTGACTGTACAGAGATCCTCCTGTTGTTAGCTGATGCTATTTGTTTATATTAAAGAGGAAGTTTTATCCTGGCTTATGCAATCCTCTTTAAGATATGACTTTTGAGATATTATTTCTGAATTCTCTTCATTTGTTATCCGTTCTTCCTGCTAGTGGGGATATAACTGGTCTGTAACATTATCCCAGTATTCAACAAGGTTGATTTAGCAATGCGGAATCACGTTGTGTTGTCTTTTTTTTTTCAAGATCGTGTAACCAAAGATGCTGTCTTTAGAAAGCTGGGATGCTACATATGTTGAGCTTACATGGAGAAGTTAGGATTCATATAGCCGATCTCAACTTGTTTGTGACTGAAATGTAGTTGTTCTATTACTGGTTCGACTAGGCCGATTTGGCAGTGTGGGGTGTGGTCTGTGGACTCACTTTGCATAGCAGCATTGTCAAGAATTGTTATAGTTTAGCTTTTATAAGTTGGGATACGACTGCTCTGTCAAATTTCCCTCATCTTTTGTTGGCAAAATCATTTAATCTAAACATGTTTAGCCGAAAAACTTATTTGTTTTCTAGAAGTTTGTATTTTATTAAGGGGTGTGCTAAAGACACTTATTGTGGACCGGAGGGAGTAGTTATTTTGACAAACTGCCTTTGTCTTGAGATATTTGATGTTTTAAGAAAAGTTAAATCATTTATTATTTTTGGAATCTAATAAGACAACATGAAAGGGAGCTTTGACGTAACTGGTAAAGTTGTTAGCCATGGGTTCAAAGCCATGGAAACAATTTCTTGCTGGCCCTTCTCGAACCCTCCGCATAGCGGAAGCTTAGTGCACCAGGCTGCCCTTTTTCTTTTTCCAATGACAGAACATGACATTTTATATCCATACTACATTTAACCAGCTAAATTTCGCGGCAAATCCATCACAATATTCAAGAAAGAATAAGGTCGTAGATACTCACTGTGATTATTACATAATAACCAGAAAATGGCTTCCACAATACGAACAGTATTCCCCCATGTGTTATACATTTCATAGGACAATAAATGAAAAAAAATTACAAAGCAAGGTACATTCATCTGTCATATGGGGACCTCATTGTATCTTCTCATCTTCTACACACTGGCTAATAATATACATGACAGTATTTCATAATAGCCAAGGAATAATCTCAGTCCTTAAACCTAAAAGGACAGATGAATTTGTGGGGATTTAAAATGTGTTGCTCATTGTATCTCTTTATCTTCTATACACTGGCTATAATATACATGACAGAATTACAATCAGCCAAGGGATCTCAGTTCTTAGACCTTAAACGACAGCTGAACCTGTGTGGACTTAAAATGTGTTAAATCCACCTAGTTAGAGTTGTAAGAACAGAAGCAAGCTAGACCAAACCTAGTGTTGTCGGCCTGCAACATAAATACAATTGAGAAAGCAAATCTTGATTGGTAGATCATGTCGTCTACAAATGACTAAGCTCTTTCTCTGCAGCTCTCTTAACTTGGTTGACAAAACGACTGCACATCGACCTTTTTTCCCCCTTTCGGATGATGAAGTTGGACGCTAAGAGGACCAGCGGCAGAGAAATCTGCTTCTGGATCCCGCTTCCTTGTTTGGCAACATTGTAATCCCCTGAGAAACAACCTACTCTTTGTCATTGCAACAATAATTACACCATCCTTTCATCCAGTTGCATGAAACCTCAACCAATTTTTTCTCCTTGTATGTATTGGTAAAATATTTTACAATCAATAGCTTCTGGTCTCGCTCAGTGGATCATAGTCATAAGCATCACCAGCCTTGACAAACCGGCCCTTCACACGCCTTCTCACATCTGCTCTTGCCTTGCGAGAAGCATATCTTACTCGCTTATCAAATCTGTAAAAAGGAAGTTATAAAAAAAGGTGAAAAGAGAACAAGTGAAAAGCCTACAACCCAAACAGAGCTTCTTGAACCATGGTATATATAACCTACACGGCCACGACATCTCAAAGGTGGGGCAGAGTTTATTCCTATTTTAGTGTTGGATAGAAGGACTTGAAATGAAATGAGGAAAATTTGTGGATGAATAATATGCCGAAAGAAATTCTGGTGCTTTGTGTCAAACCAGGGAGTGCACAATTACCAAAATAGCTTTTTGATATACTTATTAAAAGAAAACTTACTGGCGTGTCTTCTTCTTTTCCTTGTAGCGTAAAACAGCATCGCTCCGACTAGTTGATGGCATTGAAATTTCAGGACATGGGGAACACCACGGTGGCTCTCCCATGAGAAGCATTGAGGAGGCTCCACAGTCTTGATAATCTCCGGCGCTGCTCTCTCCAGTGAGGTTTGAAACTGAGAGGTTGGACTGTTGCCTCGCAAAGCAAAGGGCAGGTTCTGTCTTGCTGCTCATCATGGATTCTGCGGACGCTGCATTGCTACAAGCTGGCTGCACTGTATTTACCCTTCTCACTGCTGACCCCTGGTAAATAAATACAGATTTAAGTTCATCCGTTTTTTGGAACAACTATGTAGAGAAAAGTCAGTCGTATGCACATCTTTTTAATCTGTTCAACCTCCAACCATGAAAGTCGGAACTATTGTAATCATTGAAACCAGACAATCTTATTAGACATCAGATTTAATGTTATTGATTTGACAAATACCAAAGACTCAAAGTTGATCTATTTATGATATTCCTACGCATATGAATCCTCTCAATGCACCATCAGGAAATAGTGAATCTTACTGTTTCGCGACAAGTTAGCTCCCAAGCCCTACCCACCTCACCCAGTCAGTATATATTTTAATATATACATGCAAACATACACACACACATATACATATAGACGCGTGTATGTATAAACAGGTATATAAACAAGGATCACAGCGCACAAGTTATAAGATGATCTCAAAATATTTATACAAGTCTGTCCTATCAACTCTTATCCATGATAAATTCTAGCTTGGAAGGGAGTGAAATGCAGAGGCAAGAGTTCTACAAAAAATATAGGAGTGTGTCGTTGCGTACAAAATCGACAAGCCAAGACCAATTACAACGTCCAGAAATTAACTTTATAGAACATGTTAAATTATGACCAAATCTAGAGAAGAGGGCATGCTTCACAAAATACCATAGAGGAACATTATACCATTTGATGAGCATCTTTGCCTTATAAAAAAACATGCTTCAACAATTAAAAAGTTTGGTACACTATCTAGTTCATAACTAAAGAGAAAGAAAACATCAAGAACAAACAAATTTATTTGTACTTGGTCAACCCAAAAGTAATAATGATGGCTACCTCACTCGTCAAAAAACAAATAGTCCGTAATTAAGTCTATTTTAGCGTTCACGAACACAGAAAGTAGATAATGTTTACACAATGCAGTAATTCTATAAAGTACGAACCACCTCGACAGCATTGTCACCCTGGCAACTGGACTCAGCAACTGGCATGTCCTTCATCCCAAATAAGCCATCTATGTCTTCATTCTTAAACAGCTGATCAGGATTATCAAGAGAAACACCAAATAGCTCTTCATAATTTCCAATACTCAAGTCCACTTCATCCATATTGAAATCATCATAAAAGGGATCATCATCAAATAAATTTGAGCCTTTTGTTCCAGAATTGCACACCTGAACGTATATAAAGATATGAGCTAAAAGAAACTCTCAACAAGTGAGGAAAAGAAAAACAGCCATGCTTCGAGTAGATAAAAGACATCTTTATGGTGTTGGGAAGAAGTAAACCTCTATAATCCCCCCTCCCCCCACTTCTATTCCTGGAAAACGAAAACATAAGCAATATCTGCTAAAGTTGCTTGATCTGGAAAAATGATGTACCGAGGTGAAAAAAAGAGAGAAAGCATGTCCTCAAGGAAAGGAATGCACTAAATTTGAGATGAAAATTTCTTTGAAACTGCATCTTTTCACTTTGTTGGAAATGGACAAGAAATAGAGAGTTAACAAATCTAATGATTTCATAGCAGAACGAAATCATCCTTCGCCAATATTTGGGAATGCAACACGCAAAAACATTTGAATGCAGAGGAAAGCATGTGGAATCATTGTTTGAAGAGAAATGAAAATATAATATTTTTTTTTATGGAAAGGTAAAAATAGCAAATATTAATTTTATCTTCACATTTTGGCATTTGAATCTCTTAGAACTCCACTTATCTCTTGTTTAGCATGAGAAAAAGGGAATATAGCACTTGCAAAGTGAGGAGCAAGACAGCCTTAGCTTCAGAGCCAGCACAAAATAGTCAGAAGAACCAGAGGCGGACCTAGATCATAAAATACGGGTTTTCGGGAACCCAGTAACTTTTGCGTAGACCCTGTATTTATATTAAGAAAAATTCACTAAATATTTGTAAATATCTAACTGTGAACCCAGTTATTATTGCATATTAATCTAAAATTCTAGTAGGAACCCATAAGTCTCAAATCCTGGATCCGCCTCTGAGAAGAACATCGACTTCATTGCTATTCAGTTCTATACAATCAAAGGACAGGATAGTAATGCTTTTTGGTAAGTAAAATTGGAAAGCTAAGTTCCACTTCCACACTATATCTAGCTAAGTTACTTTACTTCTGAACAAAATGCATCTCTGAGAACTTAGAATACCTTAGACCAAGTTAAATTTGTGGATCCAACAGGCGGTTCCACATTGTGTAGCTTGTTATCAAGACTAGGCATTGATGATCGCATCAAATCATTTGCTTCAACTGCAACGGACATATCTTGAGATTTGTCCTTTGCTTGAGAACCTCGGCTATCTCCAGGTCGGCAATCAGTAATGCTCATTGAACTCATCCCCTGCTCACAAGTCGAGTCTCCTACTGAAGGGTTATCTAATAGAAATGACCAAATAGTAGAGAGCTCTACCGCGGAAGGACACCCAGTATAACAACTAAGTGCTTGTCTCTTATGTGTTGGACCTGAACTAGAATTAGCATGACCTATCCAATCACAATTTTGGCATAGAGAAATCCTCTCTTCGAGGCATCTAAAAATAGCTGGTTGCGAATTACATCTTTCACATAAAAGTGTCCGAGAATGACGTTGCGACAGGGCATTTGCAGAATGGACATTTCGATCACACGACAAACACAAGCAAGCTGCATCAGACCGGCAATAGACAATTGATGGTTGCTCCCCGCAAAATTCACATGTATAACCCATCACCTTCTTTTCTCCACTAGTTATTTCTTAGATGAAATAACAGCGCACAAATCTTCAGGCCTCTAGCACAAAGTTTAAACTTTTTGATAAAGTTAAAAGTTTTGAGCAATAGAAATTGCTCTCCCTTGAGCAAAAATGAATATGTGCTACTAACTGTTACAAGGAAAAAGAATCTGCATCATTAAAGGTGACACTATAAAGGAGAAGCAAATTGAAAAAGAAGAGAATACAAGCCTATCCAGCATTTCTTGAGATGCCTAATCCAAAAAAGTATTAAAATAAATTCTCACTTAATTCAAGAGTCCAAACTGAGATCTTGGTAAAACAAAATTCTATTCTGAAACAGTACACATTAGCAGTTAAAAAGGAAAAGGCAAGGAATAAAAGATGCCATTTCAATCAGTGAAGGAAAAAAGTGCTCCAAACAAATTGGGAATCAAGAATCCAAACCAAAAAGTTGAGAATTTTTCATAGAGCCACTTCTCTATTTTTAAGCATCATTATCTACAACAAAATCCAATTTTTTCTTTTCTTTTCAAGACATCCATAAATCCATCATTACAAAAACCATTATTTTCTTTTCAAGACATCCATAAATCCATCATTACTTAGAGCCCGTTTGGCCAGGAAAATTTTTTCACTTTTTTTTACTTTTTTTCGAATTCAGTGTTTGGCCATAAAATTTCCAATTTTCACTTGAAGATTGAATTTTAGAATTTTTCAAAAATTTGAAAAACTCCAAAAAGCTATTTTTCAAAATTTTCACTCATATCACTCGCAAAAATTCAAAAATAACCCAAAATTATATTCGATAATCTCATTTCTTTCGACGGAGAGGGGGTCCACCTTCTTCTATTTCTACATCTAGGATTCGACTTGTATCATGGATACTAATAGGAATTCAACCATTATGGCAAGGAAAAGTTTGATTCAGAGGGAGAAGAAATGTCCAAACACAACTCTAATTTTCAAATACTATTTTCACTTGAAAAAAAATTCATTTTTTGGGTCAGAATTTTACAATTCTTATGTCGAAACGCCCACTAAATATTTTGGAACTGAATAATGTTCAACATTAACCAAAACAACTACAAATTCATTTAAAATTTACTTCAAACAGGGAAAAAAACAATTCCAGCAAATTTAAAAAAAACAAAGAAATTACACAAAAAACTGAACCAAAACACCTACATACAGAAAAATAATATCCAAAGTAACTGATAAACAGCAAAATTCCCACATGAACAGTTATAGTGTGAGGTAGCTCCAAACTTTGAGGAATCTAAAAACAGATCAAAGAGCAGAAACAAAGCAACCTCATTTCAAGGTAAAAGAAAATGAAGAAAGTAACTAACTTTTTACCTAAAATAACTGTGAAGTTGGCAGAAAAAGAATTTACACAGTACACAAGAAAACAAAGTACAGATATAGCTACCAAAGGTACACCTCAAAAACCCTAAGAAAAGTTCAGACCTTTCCACTCTTTCTCTCTATAAAAAATGTTGTAGTTTTTGAAGTGTTTTTGGTGTTGTATTATGTGAGAATTGAGGAGTTGCTGATAATAATTAAATATAGTGAGCTGTCAAAAAGTGCAGGAGAGAGAGAGAAGGAAGAGGTGGGACCCACTGAGAGGTGTGTGATGTGGGACCCTGTCACTTTCTTGATAGGATAAGTTTGGCCCCTATTACGATTTTTACCATTACTTCATTTTATCCATTTTACCTTTAATGAGGAGCTTTTATACCATACAAATATCATGACCCCACAAAGCTTTTACCCCTTAAGCTTTTAAGACCACAAGTTTCAAAAAAAAAAATTCTTAAACTCTGTGCCGAGTCAAATTACCCCATCTAAATTGAAACGGAGCGTTCCAATTTATGTGAACTTGTTTGACTTGGCACGGAGTTTAAGAAAAATAGAATTTTTTTGGAATTTGTGGTCCTAGATAAGTCAAAAAAGGGTCCAGAGTATTTGTGTGGTTATAAAAGTATCTCACTAAGGGTAGAATTGGAAATTTAAACTAAATTATTTTCAAATTTAGAAAGAGGTCATTCTTTTTGGAACAGACCAAAAAAGAAATAGGTTCACATAAACTGGCACGTAGGGAGTATTATATAGTCAAATCTCTCAATAAAAATCTCGTGTGTTCCGAATTATTTTAGTTGTTATAGTAAATTGTTGGTATAAAGTACATATATTATAATTGGTTCCATAAGAAATTTGACTTTATAGTAAATGACTGTTGTATAGCGATAGGCCGATGCTGTTATAATTATGTCTGACTGTATATAAATTAAGTCATGTTATGATTTGTGTATCTTGTTCTTATGAGTTGCCATAACCTCCATTTTATGGTCCAGAGATCTCTTTTCTTTTATTGTTCTTTCTTACAAACAATCTCTTTCATATATAAAATTTTATAATTTGTTGAAGTTTAAAGATTTATATGAAGTTTTCTTTTGTTATATTGCTTATTCAAACTTTTGTCGGTGAGATGTTGATGAGGAACTATTGCATATTGCAATTAATGTTTCTAAGATAATTATTTTATTTAAAAGCTTGATCGTTTATTTTCTCGTCAACAACTTTTTTCTTTGTTGTATTTTAATCCTACCCAACTCTCCTTTCCTTTCTAATTAAATTATTGTTGGTATTACTGTGTTCAAAATCAGAAAAATGTAGAAGCAAACAAAAGTTAGTTCAATAAACAAATCGTAAAATAATTCCGAGCCCATTGAATGTACAATGTGCCCTTAAGGAATTTAATTCCCTCACTGTTGCCCAAGGTATACGGATTAATTCCTCCCAGGATAGAACGGAATAACTATTCTGTGATAGCGGCACTTCAAATCACAGAACTTCAGCGAACTCAACAAACGGAGCAAATCACACTTGACACTTATGTTTATTTAGAAAATAATGCAACAATGTATAAAAGAGGGGAGAAGATTTCAGATTTTCCTTGTCTGATTTCATGTCTAAAAAATGAGGTCAAGCCTTTAAATTTATAGACAAAGGAAGGGTGATATGGAAAGGTGCAATCTAAAAGGTGCCTCTTCCATTTCCCATTCACACCCTTAATAAAAACGCAACAATCCCCCACATGAATGTGGAATGGTCATATGAGGAAAAACATGCATGAAAATACTGTGTGATTCACAAATAAGGATTAATCGCATCTGGATAAGCATGTTTCCCTTTGAACTTTCCGTAGTGAACTTGTGTCGGATATACTCGGTCAATCAGTAGATTTGATATCTTTGAACCGTCGAGCTTTGGTGTATACCTAGACAACCATAAGTCACACAATCAATCCTTAACCATTTTTGGTTCTCACGGTTGTGTTCGTTTCAGCCATCAACACCGCCTGGTTTCATGAGTGCTTAGAGAATGGGCCTTTACTTTCATTCCCCTTAAAGCGGCTTACACTTAACACTCACATATGTGATTTCTAAACGTGTAATCCTATAGACACACTATCTGGTCATATCCTGCCAGACTTAGAAAATCATTAAAAAGCTTTAAGCATTATTGACTCATCAAAAAGCCTTAATGCTTTACCTTGATTTCTGAGCATTGTCTTCATCACGAGAATGGGTTAAGTTATTTGACAATGTTGAACCGTCATTCATAACTTTGTTTGATCTCTTTGAACTTAGCTCTTGGGATCTCCAGTCTGCTAGGTAGAGTTACCGCCATGATGACTTGTCCTAGGCCTTAGCCCCATTCCCTTCAATGATATTTCAACTGCCTCTCTAGATAAGCCTTTTATAAGTGGATCCGACATGTTATCTCTTGACTTTATGTAGTCAATCGTGATAACACCACTAGAGAGTAGTTGTCTAACGGTATTATGTCTCTGTCAAATGTGATGAGATTTTCCGTTATACGTAACGCTCCTTGCCCTGCCTATTGCCACTTGACTATCACAATGTATACATATAGGTGCCAAAGGTTTGGGCAAAAATAGAATATCTTTCAAGAAATTCCGGATCCATTCAGCTTCTTCACCGGCCTTGTCTAAGGCTATAAACTCAGCCTCCACTGTAGAGCGGTCAATGCACATTTGTTTGGACGATTTTCAAGACATCGCTCATCCACCGACTGTTTAGAATCGGTTGAACCGGTGATGTAAATTTCATCACTATACCCCTCTATTATCGTGGGATACTTATTGTAGTGCAAGGCATAATTTGGAATATATTTTAAATACTTCAAATCTCGTTTCATTGTCATGAACGTTTAATGCAAACTTCCTTATGTTGTAGACAAATACGTCTCGACTTTCGATTGTATATCATATTATTGACTACACTTAATGTAGTAATAGTATATTATAACAACAGCTGGAATGATTGGCATCAGTTGTGACCACAACCTTTTAATATATAACACATTTATCAATCACTCCGTCATTTCCAAGCATTTGTATGTTATTTATTCATACGCCTATATGATATACAAATTATAGCACCTCCATTCATGAAACAAATCCAACTTGCAATGGATTTTGATCATGTTCATCGGTTAGTTCACCTCATTATAGACCAACATATTAATATATTTGTTCATGAACGGTCATGTCCATACAAAAATGTACAGATGTATCTTTCTATGAAAAGTCACAACCTTCAAAGTGACATCATTTCATAAAAGAACTAAACAATATAAATTTTCAATAAAAAAAATTGCCTTTCGAGAAAGGCACGTGACCAACTTTCGAATTAGTAGTTTCATCAACTAGTCTTCATTAAGACTAAACAACTGATGAATTTACCAACTACTATATCAATGGGGTTCAAAAATTATATCATGTAGACATTATGTCTAACATTGGCTTTTGTCATGCATAAGCTAAAAGCCCCCACATTTTAAATATTTCATCAATATATCATATATAATCAAATAATGACTATATGATTTGTAGTATTCTTAACGTAAACACATTTGTTTACACTCATTAATTTTTTTTGAAACCATTTGACAATATTATTTGGTCAAATCTCGCATGTCATTGTTTGGGTGCTTGTCTTAGTCTGTAAAGTGACTTAACAAGTCGACACACCTTCTTTTCTTTTCCAGGAACCATGAACCCTTCAGGTTGTTCCATATAAATTTCTTCCTCCAAATCTCTATTTAAGAAGGTTGTCTTTTACGTCCATCTGATGGATTTCAAGACCATACACGGTGGCTAATGCTATTACCATCCGAATAGATGTAATTCTTGTTACGGGTGAGTATGTGTCAAAGTAATCAAGGCCTTCTCTTTGACAATCAATCTTTCCTTATATTTATTTGTCAATAGTACCATCAGCTTTCATTTCCCTTTTGAAAATCCACTTAGAACGCAAAGGTTTATTTCCTGGAGGAAGATCAACCAATTCCCAAGTATGATTACTTAATATGGATTCTATCTCACTATTGACTACCTCTTTCTAACATTGTGCTTTCGAGCAAGACATTGCTTCTTTAAATGTTTGAGGCTCACTTTCCAACAAGAATGTCAGAAAATCTAGTCCAAAGGAAGTAGTTCTCCTTTGACGTTTACTACGTCTTGGATTCACCTCAATAGGAGTACTTTCTTTTGCTTCTTCCCGTGTTCGCTTAGATTTTCACTGGACGACCCACATTCCTTTTTATACGGGTAATTATTCTCAAAGAATTCAACATTATCTTA